CCCACTTTCACGCCCCCCTTCCCCCAGAAAACACCACAGTATACAGAAAGTGGATTGGATGAGGCATCAAAATCCAGGATTTCATGTGCCACTCTCCAGAGCTCCCAACCACTTTGTGCAAGCCATCTCATTCCTCTGGGCCTCAGGTCCTCACGTGGAGACCAGCTCATCAACAAGGCCTTCCCAGCTCTGGGTGCCTAGGATCTGAGGATGGGTCTGTTCTCACCCTGTTCTGAAGCACAGCTCTGGCCTGGGTGTAATTCAGAAATAAGAGGCAGATGTCGATAAGTCATCATGGTGACAACTCACGAAGGCCACCATCGCAGCATTGTTCTAAATGAAGGTGTGTGCAGGGGGAGGCAAGAGGACAGAAAAGCAAAGCCTGGATGTGAGCAGCTGAGCTCAGGTGACCAGTGAGTCAGCGGTGAGACCCAGAGGTAGAGGAACGCCCCCCCCCCCAAAAAAAAACACATCAAAAGGGGCTGCCACATTATTGGGTAAGCGATGCAGAAATACCATCCTCTTTGGAGAATTCCCCAAAACTGCAATTTGCCCGTCTGCTTGTGCCTATGTTCTCTATGCGGGCTCAGGATTCTTTCTCCATCCTAACCACCACTGCCTGCTTCCTCCTTCATGATCTGAACTGCAAACAACAGAACCTTAAAAATAAGGGCAGTGGACTCTGCAACTGAGAGGAAATTGGAGGACAGTGTCAGGGACCCCAGAAGTGAGTTTGGGAATGAAGAGAGACAAAGCAGACCCATATTAAAACACCTACACAGACCTGTAAGACAGACACTAAACTCGGGCTCTGAGTGAGACCTCGACCAAAGCCTGAGCCTATCGCAGAAGACAGCAGCCTATCGCTGCCCATCACAGCCCAGCAGAGCCCAGCAGAGCTGGGGCAGGACCATGGAGAACAACCTGTGAGCTCCTCATTGTGCTCAGCCCAGTGAGCTGTGGGCTGGCTTCGGGGTTATTTCCCACCAGCTGCTTAACTTCCACAGAAGGACACACAGTACCTCTGGACCCACCTGGGAGGTTCCAAACAGTGTGAAATCCAAAATAACAAGGGACATTAGGCTCTTCTTCCTCTGTTACTTCCTCCTGTATTCGCTCTAGGATAGGAAGCAGCCTTTTGAGTCCCTTGCAACCAACGTATGTGAAACTGATGAAGTCCCAAGGTGCTTGCTCTAAAATATTTATGATTTATTCCCTCCTACGGTGTCTGAATCATCCGTGCTATTGCATTGTAACAACGTAGCTGTTTCTGCTCTCTTATCTGTGTGCCCCAATCACAGTAGCATATCTAGCTTAAGGTAGGTGTTCAATAAACATCTGTTGAACTTAAAAATCTTACATTCATCTCCAGTTAGAATCCGTTTTGGCAAGCAGGAGCCATATGTTACATTTTCTTTGTATACACTTTAAGCTCTATAAACAGGTAGGTACTCAATACATATCTGGGAATAAATGGTTGATTAGTTGGCTAAACCTAATAACCCTTCTTCAGGCTGTGTCTGAGAACCCTCATGTACATGAACTCTGAGAAATATATATATATATATATATGAGTTCTTTGCTTTTTTGGGGGGCTTCCCCGTCCCTGGAGATGGAGGGGACAGGGAGTATAACCTGAGATGGTTTCTCAGGGGTCTACAATCTAAATTCGATGGTTTTGAAACCAGTAACTAAAGAATAAACCTTGAATCCAATAACAACTCCATTAACACACCCATGTGATCACAGGCATGTGTCACATAAATACGTGTACCATATGCATTTATTACATGCAGGTATGATTCTGGAATATATTCGAGGTATAAAAACAGATAACCATTCACCGACAGGAAATTTTCATGAGTGATAATAACAGCAATGCAGGCTTCTATTCTTTAGTGGCTATTGTCATTAGGACTGGTAGCAAATCACAAGTGTTTTGACAAGAGTAATTACCAGCATTAATTTACCCCCTTTCTCAGATTCAGTACTTCCTGGGGTGGCAAGACCTACTAGAGGGGGGCGGGGGCACTATTTCAACTAAAGCCGTAGGCTGAGAAGAGAAATCACAAAGAGGGGAAAGTAGCCCTTCTCCCACTGAGAGTCCTGCCTCACAGGACCATCTTAATCAATGCAATGTACACAAGGCAGGGTCGCCCTGAAAAGTCAAACATTATTCCAGCAATCTGTTAACCACTGATGACACTGTCCCCCAGAAGGCGGTACAAAATTACTGCCTCCAAGCGTACACAATCCAGGACAGACACTGGACAGCAGATGGGGTGATCTGTGTGTAAACCTAGTCCTGTTCCAAACACTCAAAGGGAGCTTCCTCCCGCAACCTGAGTGCATCCTGTGAGGGGCTTGTGCGGTGCATTCTGTTCTCATGTAACTGGGTTTTCTTGAAAGCCAGGCACTTTTCTCCTGAGGTCCGAGCATGCTCGCAAGCGGGATTCCTGAGGTTTTGGGCACGGACCCAGCACTAGGCCAGAGGGCCTGCCGGACAGCCTGCAGCCCCTCTCCGCCCTCTGGGCGGCACCTTCTCTCTCCTCTAGCTCTGGCGGGCGGCATCGGTTCGTGCTGTGTCACCTTCGCCGGCCTGAGCTCCAGCCGCCTAGAAGCCTGCAGCTCCAGCGGCTTCCTTCCTTAGCTCACGGGCCTCCAGCCTGGGAGATAATCTCCGGGCCACGGAGCCTGAGCCCGGTGGGCGGAGCCGACAGAGGCACGGTCTGGGCATCCAGCAGCAGCGAGGCGGCAGCGCCTGGCCGGGCCTGGGCAGGGACCGGGACTGCGGGCCAGCCTTTGGCCCACACGGCCTCTAGGACGCAGAATGGGGAGGGAGGCGGAGGGCGCACCGATTCCCTCCAGGGTCTGCTGGGGCATGCATACCCACAGAGCGCCTCGGTACAGGGGTCAGCCCAAGCGTGGGGGCGGCGAAGGAGGCGGGGAGAGAACACTCGAGCTCCCCAAGGCTTCTCCCGGTTCAGCCAGACCACCCCTCCCCAGCGCTGCAGCCAGTCTGTCGGGTCTAGGGGTGTGAGATGTGGAGGTAGGAACTGCGGGTCTCCCACCGCCCTCGGGCCTGGGACTCCCCTGTGAACCCGGCACACACGCAGGCACGACCCCCTCTCTAAGTAACACGGGCGCGCACGCACGCACGCGGACACAAGACTACGAACCCAACTGGGACCACCAGGGGGCTGACGGGACCCATCTCCACGGGGATCAAGACCCGGGCGTGTCCCCACTATGCAGCGGTCTGCGGTCCCTCCCCCCGCCCCCCACTCCCCACGCTGGAGCGGTGTGTACTCACAGACAGCTGGGCGGGGGAGGCGACGCTTCACTCCCGGGTGTGCGACCCACCCCGCGCCGCCAGCCATCCCTCCCCTTTACACGCCGCACCCCCTTCCAGCTCACGGCTGCCCCCCAATCCCAACCCTGCAAACTCCACGAAACCGCACAGCCAACGCCGCCTAGAGGAGGGGCTCAGACCCTCGCTCCTCTTTTAACGCCAAAGGAGAGACTTACACTCAAATCGGCGACGCGCGGTCCCTGAGACACCCCCTCCGAGACG